AGAGACTGGTCCCACGGTAACTCAGGAAAGGCATCCCAGTTCTGACCCTAAGGAAGAGATCATCAACTCCTTYCGTGACCATTTGGAGCTATATGGTAGGACTCTTCATCAGATGGATATTGGTCCTACTCCTACCTCTTTTGCATCTACTTCAGGTAACACTGCCACTGCCTTCCATGTGTCATCTCATACCTCTGACTCCCCTTTGGGTAATTGACTCCGAAGCCTCAAATCACATGACCAGTAAGTCAAATTTATTTCAGGCATGCAATCTTCTCTTTGGGAGAGATAAGGTGAGACTAGCTGATGGTTCTTTCTCCACCATAGCCAGCCAAGGAACCATATCTCTCCCACTCGGCCTCACCCTTTCTAACGTACTACATGTTCATAAATTACCTATAAATCTGCTTTCCATTAGTAGTATTACTCACTTCTTGAACTGTTCAGTTACTTTCTATCTGTTTTTATGTGTGTTTCAAGATTTGGCATCGGGGAAGACGATAGGTAGAGGAAGCATGGTGGATGGCCTCTACGTGTTGGAGAATAAAGTTGGTTTTGTGGCTAAGAGTCCTTGAGTTCGTCCAGTGAAAGTCAAGCCTATTTATGGCACAGTCGTCTTGGTCATCTTTCTTTTGAGTTGTTAAAAGTTATGTTTCCAAAGTTGTTTGATTCTTTCAGTGAGTCAGTTGCAGTGTTAGACATGTCAATTGAGTAAACATTGTAGAAGCACTTTTCCTTWGAGAAATAAAAGATCTGAATTTYCATTTCATATTGTTTATTCTGATGTTTGAAGCTCTGTTACTCTACCTACTRAGGCTAAATATAAGCACTTCATTACCTTGATCGATGATTACTCTAGATACACCTAGGTTTACCCTATGCGATCTAGAGAGGAAGTGCCTAAAATTGTGAAAGAGTTTCAACGCATGGTGYTCACTGAGTTCCAAACTGAAATCCATATTTTCCARTCGAACAACGCAAAGGAATACTTCCATAGTGATCTCACGGAATTCTTTGCTTCGAGTGGATCACTTCAACGAAGCTCTTGTGCTAGGACACCTCAACAAAACAGTGTTGCTAAAAGAAAAAACCGTCATCTTCTTGAAGTAGCTCGTGGCTTGTTAATCCATATGAATGTTCCGAAACGTTTTTGGATGGATGTTGTTCTGTGTGCTACGTACATCATCAACCGTATGCCCTCTCGGTTACTAGAGTATAAAGCCCCACATCAGCTTTTGTTTCCTACAGCTCCGTTGTTCCCCATTCCAATGTGTGTTTTTGGGTGTCATTGCTTTGTTCATAACTTGTCACCTACTCGGGGTAAACTTGATCCTCGTGCTATTCCTTGTGTCTTCCTTGGTTACCCTCTATCTCAAAAGGGGTACCGTTGCTATGATCCCATCTCTCGTAAGTACTATATCTCAATAGATGTGTCCTTC